AATTATATAATACATAATATATTTATATTAAATATATAATAATTTATATATAATAAAGGCATGTGAATAACAGGTTCCAACTGATAAAAATACCTTTTCCAAAGAGATATATAATTATTATTATCATAATAATAAAGGTATTATCAGTGAAAGCTTAATTGAAAAGGATGTAAAGGGAAGTTTGATCTTTTAGAGACATTAGGCTGATAGGCTGAGAACTTCCCGAACCTCAATCTCTGCTTTAAAATACCTCTGAGCAATTAGCAAAACGCAGACAGCACTCTTCCAGCTCCGGTCCGACCTACACTGGGGACTCCCATGGAGTGAGACCCACAGAAGCTTTGCAGGGCACAGGGGTAGCTGCCATTTCTTGGTTCCTTGCCAAAGGCCACAGGGCAGAAGATGGTTCTTCTGAGTCATTAGGAGGAAAGTAGGAATGAAGTGTGTATAAATGCTGCCCTTTATGACCCTGATGTCTTTCTAGGTCAAAGCAAGTATCAGGACTTTTACTCCCAGAGAAAAGCGCTTTGTTGAAGACAGCCGCAAGCTGTCCAAAAAGGTAGGTGGGGACAGTGGGTGGCTCACTGGTGCCCTGGGTGCCCAGAACCTGAAGTGCTTACTCTTACTTGCCTCTCTTTTTCCTTCTCTTTTCTCCCCAACTCTCCACTCCCCAACTCTCCACTCCCCATCTCTTCATCTATTTTTTTTACCCCCTTCTCTCCTAAAATAAGGACTTCATTGAACTCCATAATAAGGAGACGACTTAAAACACACCCATGGGATGAGGCAGCCGTCAGCCCCCACTTTTCTCCTGAATCATTCTGTTTCCTCGCGCCAAGACTCCATAAGCATCTTCCAGAATTGACCTGCCCCACTAGCCTGCTGTCATCACAGCTGTCTCAATCTGCCCTGAAGTTCAGGGAGGTGTTCTCCCTGTGCAGGCAGTAATGAAATTAACTCATAGGCTCTGCAGAGACACTTGGCCCTGGATTCCTTATTAGGGCCCACATTACTGTGCTGAGCATTATTGAAACAGCCTACTCTTTGCACTTTGGGGATGTGCTGGCATCTCACCCCATGTTAAGTTACTACCTCTCCCTCTGCCTCTTGCCTTTAATACCTCTCTCAGCAGTTCAACACAACGTCAAGATCAGGACTCAGTAGTGACAATTCACATGGTTTTGCCGTGACCTTTGGGCTTCTTTTTCAGCGTCCCTCCCTGTCAGACTCAGAGACAGGGCAGGACTTAACTCTGTACCTATTGTCCCACTTCAGTTGTGTAACAAAGAACAAAATGTCCCCTTTTAAAAGTGCTTTTTACTTCCCCCACTTCCCTTGGGGTGAGCAGCTGTGGATTACATAAATCAGTTAAATATAACGGCATCTTATCATCTTTTTGTTTCCCATGAACTTTTGGGCAGACACGGGAAAGGCCTTATGTGTCTTCTGAGGGGAAGCTTCCAAACATTTTGTTTTGGTCTGCTGTAACATCGAGTGTAATATTTATTTTCTGTAATTTGAGTAAATGTCTTATTTTATTATGATTATTGCCTTTTGCTCTGTTTACTTGAAAGTTGAAACCTGACTTGATGTAGGTGGGGTAGCTGCTGTGCAAATGAATTGAAATTAATCTGCCTGCAGCTGGGAGAGCAGACATATCCTGGGCAGACACCACCTGCATGTGGGGTGGCTGTGAGCTCTGAGAGTACCAGGGGATGTGGGCCTGAAACCCTGGAACATGCTAGGACCCTCCCCACATGGCTTTCACCACTGAGTGCTCCCAAATTTTCAGAAAGTTGAGATATTTGCTTATGGTACAAATATGTGAAAACACTTACTATGTGACTGACATTTTT